CTCCATGATCCCGCGGTCAAACGCCACTGTATTATGGCGCGGCTCCGCCATTTGCTTCAGCGTCCTATGTTTGCGCTCCATTAGGAACGCTGTGACCAGACAGCCGTGTTTCCTATACTGATCGCCAAGGTTTGTGCTCCAGTGGGTCTTGGGCTTCCACAGCGCCAGCCCATAGGCGCGCTGGTGGGCCGACAGGTGGGCAAGGATAGCATCGTCGAGGGCGTCAGCGTCGATAGCCCTGGCAGTAGTCAGCTGCAGCGCGGCAGCGACCTTGCACAAAAGCAGCGCGCTGTCGACCTGAGGCTTGCACACGCCAGCCTTGCAAACCACATCTGTCAGGAACTGCCCCAACACAGGCGCGAAACCCATCAGCTCAGACGCGCTCACATTAGGGCTACACTCCTTGTTGCCAGAGAAGAGACTGCGCGCGTGCGCATAACTGCCAGGGAACCCCCACTGCTGCACGTACTCGTGCATTGTTTTTCCACCGAAACTGTGTTTCCTGAGCACCCCCTCCAGCGCCGTCAGCTCGGTAGCAAACACGCCGTCGCAGAAATACACGTGCATCCAATCCCAATTCCAAACCTCCGTAATCTGGATGTCTAGAGACGTGTCTTGTAAGAGACCTGTTTCGACGTGTATCCAGCCAGAGCGGGCTTCCAGCTTCTCCAGTCTACCCTTGTCGCCGACCGCGTTGCTATCGGACAGCTCCTTCAACCTGGCCAGCATGCCCTTCAACTCAGCGTCAGTGTACCGAGCGTGCTTTGTGGTGTCCAAGTCAGCCGCCGACACCCAATACGCTGACCCCTCTTGAAGCAACGACGACTTGTGCCCAACCACATTCGCGCATAATGCGCAGACCTTATGGCCTGTCGCGCCCTTGCAGTGTAAGCTAAATTTGAACGCCCTCTCGTCTTGGACGAGAATGTCCAGCTTCCCCCAAGAGCATTCTCGGAGACGCCTCTCCGTGGATACTGAACTGGATGCCGCTCCTGAGGTCGATGCCATGCGGGGCGCCCATGAACAGCTTAAGGCATATCGTCATGAGCTCAGACATCCCACCACGAAGCCTCGCGACAGTAGTCGAACGACAGCCTGTCAGGGTGAACCACATCAGCTCGTTTGACAGCACAGGCCAATCGAAACCTAGAATTGTCCAATATATAGACTCCAGACGCCTCAAGTTGTGCGCACCCAATGGGTTACCTGGAGTAATCTCATCGCTGTAGACGATGAGGCGTATGAAATTGTTCGTCTTGTCCAACGTATCGATCAGCACCTGTCGAAATGGCTCGCTCTCCCTGGCGGCGGCTTGCAAGAAAGCCCAAGGGTTCTGCACCCAGATCTCGAGGTCGTTACCGTCGCAATCAAACGCAGGGATCTTCTGCAATATAGGGCCGAAATCCGTGCTCTGGAATGCTATATCCTGTCTAGTTTTCCGTATGCTGAACGTCGAAAAGGCAGTCAGTAATTCTGCGTCTCGAATCTCAGCGAGGGTGTGAGACAGCCCTGACGCAGTGACGCGGGCCTCCCTGCCCAAGTCCGTCAGCCGAAGTCGTTGCCGAGGCGGCGTTGTGCAATCTTCTGCATCGGTCGCCCGCTTCCGAGGCATCGCAACAAATTGCGTGTGAACAAACGCTTGAGCCAAACATGTGCTACGGACAGTGACCACTGGAAACGTACGACCCACACGTGCACGACTCTCAGTTCCAGGCCTAAGCCGCCTCACGCACTGCACCGCAATTTGCATGCGACGAGGGGCGCCCCGCAGGGCGCTCGAACGGGAACACCGCACGGACCTTGGTTTCCGAGGCGAATCCGCATCAACATTGGCAGTAAAAGGCCGCGTGCAAATCGGCAAGTCATACATCACATATTGTCTTTCAATCGTTGCTGCCCACTGATCAAACACGCGCCCGATATGCCTCGGGCTGGAACAACGGGAACTGAGTGGGGAGCAGGATGTCAGATGTGGCGCGGTGAGCGGCAGTTGCTCATCTCTATGATGGTTTACACATCATCCCCCTCATCATCATCACCATCCGCCTCACCATCATTACATGCATCATCATCGCACCGCCTTCCAGTCGATAAATGTCGCCATGGGTTCCCCCATAGGTCAGTCAGTCAGTCTCGAGGTGGAGTACTTCGCGGGTAGCTATATATTGGGGGGGGGGGGGGGAGGGGGGGTGATCTATCAGGGCGCGTTTATGATAAGAGGTATGGCGGTTTGGGTGCGGGGGTGTCATATGGGAGGGGGGCGCGTACATTTGGCGAGGGTACCAAAACGTCCGCAGTTCCATGCGATGGTGGGTTGTTATGATAAGAGTGCGGGCGGTGGCCACGCGGGGCCGTACAGTTCCCAGCCATCCTGTGGCGTTGGGCCACCGTTTTGAAAAGGCAGCGCCCCGCGTCTTCACTCCTCCTCTCCTCATCCGCCTCCTCCTCCTCCTCTTCTTCCTGCTCCTTTTCCGCCCCCCCTCCTCTCACCATCGGCGTCATCATCATTATCACCATCAGCATCAGCATCATCGTCGCAATCGGCATCGTCATCGTCGTTACAATCATCGTGATGACCATTTCGGCACGCCCCTCGCACGCTTCGTGGCACCACAGCGAGCTCCACCGAAGGCCCCAATGGGACCTCCCGCATGCGCCACCCACACCCAATTCTGGCATACCCAATCATTGAAGGCCCCAATGGGACCGCACGCATGCGACCCCCCCGCGCACACACACACACACACACACACACTTCGGCGTACCCCTCACACGCTTCGTGGCCCCATATATAGGGAGTTCCACCGACGGCCCAACTGGGCCCGCACGCATGCGTCACCCACGCCCAGGGATGGCGTACCCCGCACGCGTTACGTGGCCCCATATAGCGAGCCCCACCGAAGGCCACAACGAGGCCGCCCAACTTTTACAAACGGTACCCTCCCAGTCACTCGAGACCTCGGGGAGTTGGAGGGAGGACGAGAGCCCTGAATGACCAGGAGGGCGAAGTGGTCATGGAAGGAGGAGGGGTGGCGCGACGGAGGAGGGGGGCGGATAAGGAGGAAGAGGAGGGAGGAGGAGGAGGAGGAGGAGGGGGAGGAGGAGGAGGAGGAAGATGGTGAGGAGGAGGGGAGGAGAGGAAGGGGTGAGGAGAAAACGAGGAGGGGAGGAGGAGGTTGGACGGAGGAGAGGAGGAGGACGATACGACCCTGTGAGTGCCGAAGGGAAAGGATTCAGGGGTACCCATGGGGGGGGGGGGGGTGGTGCTGCTCAGGTCTAGGAGGACGAAGGAGGAGAAATGAAGGAGGATACGAAACTTCAGCAGGACTCCCTGATATGTTACGTCTCATCTCCGCGCATGGCATGGTGAGGAGGAGGCGGATGAGGAGGAGGAGGTGGGGGGGGGGGGGGGAGGGCGAGGAGGAGGGCGAGGAAGGAGGAGGCATCCATCCCGCTGCGCTAGTTCGTGACCAGGAGGACAATGAGACGAAACAGTGCCAGGAGTCCCTGGTGCGTTTTCGTTTCATCTCCGCGCTGGCATGAGGAGGAGGGGGGGGAGGAGAAGTAGGATGAGACGGAGGATGAGACGAACCAGTACCAGGAGTCCCTGGTATTTTTCCTCTGCATCCCCGCGCTGGCATGAGGAGGAGGAGGACGAAGAGGAGGAGGAGGATGAAGATGATACGAACAAAGTACCAGGAGTCCCTGGTACGTTGTCGTCCCATCTCCGTGCTGCATGGCATGCGGAGGAGGAGGAGGATGAGGACGAGGATGAGGAGGAGGAGGGGAGGAGGAGGAGGAGGAGGAGACGAAACAGTACAGGGAGTTCCTGGTACTTGCTCGTCTCATCCCCGTGCTGACATGAGGAGGAGAAGGATGATGGGGACGGGAGGCGGAGGAGGAGGAGGAGGAGGAAGAGGAGGATGGGGAGGAGGAGGAGGAGGAGGACAATGCGTGGAGAAGAGGGAGTGGGAATAGCTCCAAGCAAAGGCAAGCATCACGCCACCCCGCTCGCCTAGCCGCTTGAAGACGGGGACCCGAAGTCATCCCGCCATCGGCGGCCAGGCCAGTGGGGAATGGGTGGTGTTTGCCATGCGCTGCAAATCTGTCACGCCCTCACGGCCTCTATTGTTCTCATCGGCATGCGCACGCCAACCGCACCCCCGAGTGCACAGCGGTTGTCGCAACGACAGTCTGTCGACCGTACCCCGTGCCCCAAAACTAAGTTGAATCGTAAACCCGACCAGCCGCACCCCACGCAATCGAAGCCTGCTGGCGCGCGTCCGCCTGGCTCATGCCCCGACTCAAGGCATGATTGAGAACCCCCTTGTACGCCCTCGAGGCGTAGGCGTTTCGGGACCTGTTCTTCACGTCGCTCTTCGCAAGCCAGAAGGACATGTCGAATGCTTCGGGGGGGGGTTTGGGGGGCTGGCACGACTACGTTCGACGAGCCCCACTGCGTGGCATTTGATGGGGGGAGGCAGGAGGAGTGAGGCATGGGGGAGGCACGGAGGATGAGCGGGAAGATGTAATTTGAGATGTTGTCAGTGTTGGGCTAATCCCCAATCGTCGTGCCAAAATCGGCACGTCACGGCACGGCGCGGTTTCTTTGGCTGAGCACGCCGCGACACAGTACCACCACACAACGGGGCCGTGCAACGACGGCGACGGTGTAGGTATCTTGACACCGCGCGGAGCATATTACATTGAACGTGTGTTCAATGGTATATACCATAACGGCGTCGGCGGCGTTCACTTTGGACGTCCATAAGGCCACCGTCGTGGTAACGTGACGCGACTGCGAGACGACACGCGACCAGCCCCCACCCCGCCAACCCCCCCGCATGCGCCGCCAGCAGCAGCGGGCCGCTTGAGCACAGCCTTGGCCGTGGGTTTGGCTTTAGCCTCGGCCTTGGGAGAACCCTTGGCCTTGGCCTTGGCCTTACCCTTGGCCTTAGCTGTGCCCTTCGGTGGTCCCTTCATGGCCATCTTCTTGGCATCCGTATCCCCGAGCATCCTGGAGTGGGCCACGAACCGAGTCTGAAGGCATGGGGTGTGGGGAGGTTGGGTGCGAGCTTATAGTAGAGGGTGGGGTGGCACCGATGGCGGCGACATAAACATGCGAAACGGATCGGCAGGGCCTGGCGTGGCCCGCCCCCCGTTGCGCGATGTTCAATGACGCCGTCATCGCGCTCCCTCGTGCACCCGCGTGCCCAACCTTCGCCATCCCGAACCCCCACTCTCGAAACAAACCCACTCCCAGCATTAGACCCAGCGTCCTCTGCTCAAGGGCAGCAGCTGCGTCCGCTGGCACACCACCCACGGGAGGAAGCACGTGGTCAGGCGGAACAGGGCCTGCATCGATGGGCGCGGGGCGGTCGATGCTAGCCAGTGCCATGACCTCGGAGCTCGAAGAGGGGGCAGGTGCAACCGCGATTGCATTAGCCCTCGGCCTCAAGTTCATTAAGTTGGCCTGGCCGACGCCTGCCTGGCCGCCGATGCCGCCGCCCAAGAGGTCATGGTGAAGCCGCGCAATTCCCTGAAACAGCATGTTGCCCATCTGCAGCATCGCCTCATTCATGCCGTCCTGGCTGCCACCGAGGTTCAGCGTGGGCACTGCGCGACCAGCGCTCTCCGACTGCCGAGTCGCAAGCCTGAGATCCCTGTGGTTACGTTTGATCGCCATGCCCCCAGACGATGGCATCTCTGCAAGCGCAGGTGGAGGAGGTACAAGGGGCGTGTCGCCGTAGGCGTGCCGCAGCAATGACGGCGGCAAATGCGTCGGGAGGGTGTACGTCGTCACCCATTGGAATTTGTGCTTCCCCTTGGTCTTCTCGATGGACTTCACTGCAGTTTGGAACGACTTGGCGAAATTTTTCCTGGCCTCGGCGTCCATCGAGTTGACCTCGTCGGGGCTCATACAAGCCATCACCAATGCGGCACACGCCTTCTGCAACTTCTGGGACGGGCAGATCATACCAAGCTTGTACATGCGCGCCGTCACGGTTCCAACCTTCGCCTGTCGGGCGAACGTTGGATTGGAGAGCACCGCCCAGTCGTCCTCGGTGAAGAACCTGTTGAGGTTGTCGCAGTATTGTTGAGGCCGAGAAGAGCTGCCACCAACGGGCTCTGACACCTTGTCGCTGAGGATGGTCGCCAGAGCAAGCTTGTGATCTGCGCTCCACGGCCCAACGTTCAGCTCCCCCATGATCATGGTCGACTCATCCACGGTCAGGCGAGGCGCTTGGGTGATCGCGGCACGGATCGCGTCCGACTGCAATTGCATCAACTGCTCCCTGGGGACTCCAGCCGCCGCCTGCTCGTTTATGAATTGGACCCGCGAGCGAATCGCGATGATCAGCTTCTGCGCGACAGACTGCTCGGGCGCCGACATCACACACCAACGCTGCGAGTGATGCTGCGCTCACGACACAAAGCGCCTCTTGCACTAACGAGCCAAAACGGCTACGGAGTGGAAGGGGCTCGTGGTGAGGGTGGCATT